TGTCCCAAAAATTAGGTTAACTTGTAAATACTAATTAGTTGAAATTACCTTCATCACTGCTTTTCGACATTATCAATAGTAAATATCTTGATGTAAGTATAAATGGAGTTGGGCCACTTTCAAACTACACGGCTCAGTTATTTAATTAATTCTGAAAACTTATGTATGACAAATTTATCGTATTTGCTCTGAATATAAGCAACCTGAAGTGCTACACTGATACATAACATGAAGCTGTACATTTAACCATGGTAACCGGCAAAAAATTGGAAAACGGAGTTAGGCCACTTTCAAAATAAACGGCTCATATCGTAAAGATACATTTATGAGTTATTTATTCAATTTATATGTTACCCACGGAAATGTTACAATAACACTTGTTAAAAAAAATAAATGTCTTATTGCTACTTTTATAAACTAATATGAAAAAGTTGCTTTTTGTGCTCCGTAAATCTAGTGTCAAAAAAAAATTCCAACTATACATGGAATTGGACAAATTACAATTTCGTCGTATCACGGAAACCGAGGAAGCTGCCTCGTGTCGACAGCCTTGGCGATATGTATGAACTATTCGCATCGGAAGATAGACTCCCATGAGTCACTGCAATCAGTGACGTTTTTAATATGAGAGAGATCTACAGTGTCTTTTCGAAATGGACAGCCACAACTGTTCGTTCGATTCGGGACCCGGAAGCAGGAAGCGTGAAAGAATTTATCGCCGACCGTGTAATCGAACACTCGTTTCTGTCTTTTTTTTTGAAACGCAAATTACTTCCGCTGTTATTGAAGAATTATTTTTGTATTATGCATGATACACGTTCATAGTTTTATTAATTTTTAATCCTCGTAATTCTTAGAAAAATATACAGCATTCAAATATACGGCATGTAGCCGGAGAACAAGTAAAACAGGAAACCGTGTAATTTATCGTATAATTGTAATGACGCTTAAAGCGGTTAGCATTAGTAGCTTAGCAATGTTTTGCAAGTTCATGGGTGTTTAATCACTTACTATAATATTTGCAATTGTTAGCTTCGTACTATTTAATTGCATTTTCTTCGTAACAGCTTATGAAACAGGCAGAGAGAGAGAGAGAGAGAGAGAGAGAGAGAGAGAGAGAGAGAGAGAGAGAGTCATTTTTGGAAAAATACTACAGTGAATTCTTCCCAATTGTCACTCAGCTTGTAATCAAAACTGGACAATTTGGGAAGAGGAGAAACGATTTATTCGAGCCTTGCGTCTCGTTTTTATAGTTACCGATTGTCAACAACTATAAACACGAGACCCAAGGCTCGAATAATCGTATCTCCTCTTCCTAATTAAGGAAAAATTACTGTACAAGCAAATTCTCTAAATTTTATTGTTTTGTTTACAAGCTGAGGAACAATTGGAGACAATTTATTGTATATGTAAATCATCTTTATTCCACCTTGATGGACGTTTGGAGCAAACTTTTATAGTTCAAAATAATATGATTTGGCTACACTATAACGTCTGTTGACATTTGGAGCAAACTTTTATAGTTCACAATAAAATGATTTAGCTACACTATAACGACTGTTTTGCCTGGATCCCGTGACATTATTGCCGCTACTGGAAACCTGATAGCACGAATGCAATTTGTACTTATACACAAAATTCAGTTTCATTAAATGACTATAACTCATTTTAATATTTCATGCATTAAGAAACGTTAAATGACAATAACGTTCTTAATATCCAAAGTACCATTAGTATTCAGATATTCTTTAAACTCTTTGCACTATGATTTCTTTCACAGCTACGTCGATTCTTTGTTTCTGATAAACTCCTACACGAGAAAGAAAATGTATATTTATTGCGTGTTAACCTTAACTATGGTGTTTAAATATTGATAACGGAAGAGTGGAATTTGACTTCGGGGTTTAAGAAACGTGATTAAAATGTTCCATATCTTCGTAAACAATCTTCCGACGCGATATTAGAGGGCAGGATGATAAAATCAGGAGAAAGTTGGAAAAATATGTATCTGCAAATATTGACATACGAAAACTGAGATCTAACTATTTCAGAAAATGCCAAAGCCGGATAAGCTAGCTTACAAATAGATACGAACGGCTAATGTGAACACTTAGCCCAGCACGCTGCAAGGCACATAAATGTGCCACGATCCTAAATCTACCGATCATTAAATGTGACTCACGTGTGTTGTAGGACGAGAATGACAAGACTGATTTTATTTAAATCTTTCCCCATTTTTATTATAATTATATTATATTATTATTATTATTATTATATTATTATAATTGTAATGATATTATATTATAATTATTATATAATTATATTATTATAACTATATTATATTATTATAATTATAAATTATTTTCTGTGGAAGAGTCTTTACAGTTTCAGTAATTTTAAGATAAAAAATGCGAAACCGGTCATTTTGACCGGTATGGCAGGTTCAATGTTAACTTAGATACTAAAAAAGTAATCACGGACTCATATACAAAAACATAACTGGTTTGGAAACGTCGACAGGATCTTATTTTAGAAACGATGCATATTCATGATTTATTTGGTAGAGAAATTTACAACGGTGTGCATCGTATTTTGGGGCGCGTTCCTCTTTCTTTCGGTTCACGACAACAACGAGGAACGAACTGTCCAGCCGTCTTTATGACCCATTAAGTCGAATGGAATAAGACAGTCACGACAAGATGTTCCGTATGGGGAATCCCGACCGTCCTAGGGTCGATTAGCACGTACCGTAGACACGAGATTCTGAGAATTTTACCGTGTCCAGCCGACTTTCGGCCGAACTAATAGGAGTTCTCTGATCTCTCGCCCGTGCCGATGGTTCGTCAAGGCCACGGCTTCACCAAGCAATGGCCTGTATTACGCCCTTGAAATTGTTTTACCGTTCTCCGCCCGCCTCTCAAGAGTAGAATTCAATCCGAGACAAATAAGGTTCTTCGAATCATTGCTCTGCAAATTAATTTAAATATTTTATGAGTTCACTTCTATTGTGACAATTCACTTTTCACGTTCGCAATAATTACTACACATAATTTTATGTTCGCAATAAGTAACGGACTTTACGCATTCGTGACAAAAATGAGTATACATCAAATGCGAAAAGTGCAAATACATTTCAATAATTTGAGAACATTATCGTATTACTGTGTATACTCGACAAGATTCATAGGAAAGGAAATAAATGTCTGTGTTGTTTCTGCATTTTGCAATTAATGGTGACAATGTTTATTTAGTATGCTTCGTCGCATAATTATGTACCGGTTTACAGGCAATCACTCGAAACTATCAACGAACTACAACTATATAAAACGATTGTTAAACCCATTTGGTTATACGTACTTCAAATCTGAGGTTTGACTGCGAGATCGGATATTGAAAAGATTAAAAATCTTCAATCAAAAATATTACGACTAATTCTAAAAGCGCCACGGTTAGTTAGAAGCGACAACATTTATAGATAGAAACATTTAGAAAGAACAAATCGTGTAAGATACACCAAATCACACCAGAACTGAGTGAACAATCGCATAAATCCAGTTGCTACAAATTGTTACGTAGACGTTCCCAGATAACTGTTAATATTGATTAAATTGGTTATATTGGTCATTAAATTATCAATTCTAACGTTAATCGGTAAATTTATTGAAATCGGCAAGCTACAGTAGCTCATAAAAGTGTTCGTACACCTTTTAAAACGCAATAACTTTTACAAAACTGAACTATGTGTCTTGAATTTTTTTTAGATGATAGAGGGAATAGTCTACTAAACGATGGCTAAAAAGCTTTTTTTTTTAATTTTGTTATTACTTGGAATGAAAATAAAAGATAAAAAACTTTCATTTTTTAACTTCCAAAAAAACCCTGGTTTTGTTATTTAGTCTTAAAATAGTTATTGCGTTTCAGAAGGTGTACGCACTTTTGTGGGCTACTGTGTTAAGACAACGAATAGTACATATTAATTATATCATCAATAAGCAACATTAATAGATGAGGTACAAAAAAGGAAGATCAAATAGAATAGTCAAGTTGTAGATTTCGATGCACTTGCAAGATCTGAAAAGATAACCTGATTAAGAATTGTTGCACAATCATACACAAAATAAAATAACTAATTTACCCTATTCTCTTAGACTCTCTTCTAACTCGAATGGAAGTACAGTAAATTCTCCCTAAAAATAGACAAAAAATTTATGGAGTGGAGATACGATTATTCAAGCCTTGCGGCTCGTTTTTATAGTTACCGATTGTCAGTAACTATAAAAACGAGTCGCAAGGCTTGAATAATTGTATTTTTCCAAATTTTCCATTTTTGTGCACAATTTCAGCACGAATTAGGGAGGATTTGCTGTATTATTATATTATTCCTTTGCAATTGACGCTTTTTCGAAGCTGTTTTACAACGTAATTATCTAAGCCTTCATTTAGTGAGCCGCGCAAGTTGTTCAAAAGATTATGCTAAACTTGTGCATAATAATGCTAAAATTGGTCGAAGACGAAACGAATTTTCGGGAGAGCCAAACAGCAAACAGCGAGGAACGTTAAGAAACACGGAAAAATGCAATATCGCCAAATAATCGTCTCATCGTTTATCATCGATGCGGATAATCCAGAATTGTTTGCCCACGCCGCGTTAATCCCGGTCCGACACTTTTGAAAAACGAAGGCTCGGCGGTGCTAATGAGATGCGGTCGTTCCACGCGAGGAGTACCTGTTTCGTACCTACGTAAATGCGTCGGGGTATCCCAGGAACGGTCACGGTTCCTATATAAAGGCCGCCCTCATCATTTCCTCATCGTCATTTCATACCGGATCCTCAAAGACGTCTGCCGTTCCACACTACCCGTAAACATGGTGAAGATAGTTCTGATTGTTTTCGCTGCGATTCTCGCCACTGCATTCGCCTATCCGGCCAACGTAGAACAAGGTACGGCATCATTCATCAATTCGAAGAAAGAACTCGATATTTTCGGGAAATTGCTATTGCTGTTCACGCTCTGACAATTGCACTTGCGTAGAACTGAACGCTTATTACGTAGAATTTTAATGAAAAGTGTTACTTCGTCTTGGAATCGATCTTCGGTCTCTCGGGTTCGAAGTATTGTAACTTGGTCGACTTATTATTAGCGTTCCCTGTCTTTTTTTTGTCCTGCGAATTAAGTCAAAGATAGCAAAGATAATTTTATTCACGGATCAGTGTCACCCCCAGTGACGTTAACTCAATAAATTCTCTTGGGATCTCAGCATCTCAACAGCAGCGGCCTTTTTTCACAGAGCATGCTTAGAATCGTTTATAATTTTATTTATAAATTTTGTTGAACATATCTTTTTAAGGTACTCCTTCTAAACATGTTTGTTCTCCAATAAACCTTAACGAAACATGTGAAAATTGAAATTTAAGAACTTGATGTTCAAATAACAATCTTCAGAGCATGGGTCTAAATGGACCCCGGTATTTTATTCCGGAAATCACGTCCAAGGTGGCAATAATAATTTATTATTCGTGCAGCAAAATGTCACCCCACAGTATATATATTATAGTTCAGTTACCTCTCTTTCGGGACTATTATCTTCTAATGTAGCACAGTCGTTGACAAATCGATTTACATAATAGATTAACAGAGAGTAAACGTTTCGTAATCGACGTTTTATAAATGATTTAACCCTTTGCCTTATAATATTATGTCAGACCCGTTGTGAAGATTTGGAGCATGAAAATAAATGTATTTAGTTAACATCGAAATAAAATCCTGCCTTTCTATTATCAATATTTCAACATTAATATAAAGGTTGACAATCGATAGGATTTATTTATGTTTATTAATATTCTCCGGCCAATTCCGCGTTCAGTTTTACGATTCTATGCAGCGTTGCAAGCGTTCTTCAATGACCTGAAATAGTTTCCACGATAAATGAACGTGACTGTGTCCAAAGCGGAGTTGTTAAATTTTGATGCGTTCGTTCGCTTTTAAATTAGACGAAACTGTAATAATGCAAGAGAGGTCATTACGCAGAGTTAGCGGGAACCTAATCGACATATAACGATTTCCGAATTTCATCAGATAACTAGTTTCGTCAAGTGAGGAACACATTTTGCAATTTTGTGGAATGTTTTAAAACTTCATGTGGTCAGACAGGCAGCTGCAGCTTGCGAATTAGTTCCACGTCACCGGCTGTGAATGTGTAAAAATGTTGAAAAAGTAATCGACATCGTATAATTTAATTCTTCAAATCTAATTTCATCAAATAAAACACTGTAATTGTACTACGAAATTTTGGGGGTTGTTAGCGTGGCAGTTAAAATTTTAATCGTTGTTAACAAGGCGTTCGATGCGTCTCGAAGATGTATTTAACCCTAGATTTACAAAACCCGTCAAAATGGCGGGTCACTAATTTTTTAATTTACGATTATTCACATCGTAAAAATACATCTATGAGTTATTTATTCAATTTATACGTTACTTACGGCAAATGTTACAATGAACCAAAACAAAATAGCTTGTATATATAATATAATAAAATAGCTTTTTTGTGCTCCGTAAATCTTGTGTTAAAAAGAAATTGGTTGGCAAAGACTCACCGACACTGAAACACATCATTAGTGTCCTGACTCATCGCTTAGTTCGAGCAATCTGTTCGCAGACTGGCACGAATTGTCGACTGTAGACCTTACTGCCTGCGAAGGTCGATGTCATTCTCGCTTCCTAAATAGCCCGTCCCGCCTCTCGTCCACCATTGTTTACACGATTTCGTAATCCGCGAAAACATTTCACGTGTTTTGGTTTTTCCAGGAGTGATACTGTCGAGGTTAGCCAGAGAGGCCTCGCCAGATCCGGGCCATCATCATCGCGGATATGGCTATGGTGGATACGGGCATGGTGGCTTCGGTTACGGTGGATATGGTGGATACGGCCATGGTGGTTACGGCGGATACCCTGGAGGCTATGGTGGCGGCTTTTCCGGAAGCTCGGCTCATGCCGGCGCCATCAGCTCTCCTTTCGGATCCGCTGCCTTCTCCAGTGCGAAGGCTGGGTAAATGCTTTTTTCTTGAATACAGTGAAAGAGCAGAAGTTCGTAGTAGAACTCCATAGAAATTGCACCATGTTAGCAGTAACATGCAGAAGTAACTGCCACATTCCGCGATATTTCTATAAAGTTATTACATTATTCGATATTTATTAGTTATTACATGTTCCTTCGACTAAATTGCGGATTTTACGCATTTATAGCAAAAATGAGTAGATGAAATACAAAGTAATAAAAATTTTAAAATAGTTTAAATATACTGTCACGTTATTTTTGATATATTGACATGATTAAACGAAGAAGTACATTTTTATTTATGTCGTTTTCCTATAGTTAACATTGGAATACTTCATTTTGCATAAAGATCCGCAGACTATTTATGATATTTGTATAATAATGATCATTTGAGTGAGTTACATGGTGGGGGTTCTTTTAACACTAAACCTACCGCGGTCAAAGTGACCGCTTTCTTATTTTGCAATTCTGCAAAGTTCCGAGACTCTTTTGTGGAAAACGTTTGAATAAGTTATATTATTGGAGCAAGTTTTGTAATAATAACTTTTCAAATTCCAAATAAATTCGGTCTTCTCACTTTTGTGAAGCAGTATATGCCAATTAGTATTACTGCTTGGTAGGTTTATTGTTAACACTGAATCTACCATAGCGGTCAAAATGACCAGTTTCACATTTTTCATTTAAAAATTGTCGAATCTATAGAGACACTTTCGTAGAAGATAATTAAATAAATATCTTAAATGAAGCGTACGTTATGATAAAAATGGCGACAAGTTTAACTGAATTTAGTTAGAATTCGATGGGTTTAGTGTTAAAGAAAACGTATTCATTATAAGCAACAATAGAACAATTCCTTGAATGAAGATGAAAAATTTTTCATTTTCTACTTCAGACATTGAAAACATTGATTTTGCGTTTAAATAGTTTAAGATAGGAGATTTTGAATAAAATTAATTTACATGTGTAACGAAACTGAACGAAAACTATAGACTAATAATAGGAAAAATATAGACTAATAAATTGATTTAAAAGAGAATGACAATTTCTAAGGAGTTTACGACGATTACTTGAATGCTCATTACAATTTCGTTCAAGCAAATCAATTTTAAATTAACAGAATTCTGTTATGACCTTGTTAAGGATTATAGTTAAAAAGAATTTGTTCGCGACGCTTTATGTTATTACACTTCTGTTGTAGATCTGTTGGATACGGCCGATAAAGCATCGATTGAATTATACGCTGACTCACGGGAACATGGAATCATCCAGGCTCTTCGTTCGCACTTGTATAATATTGTCTAATTTGTAACTAAGTCTATACAATAAACTTTTATACTATTAAACTTGGTATTATCCATTAAAAAACACAGCAACGGTCCTAGCAGCTTATACGATTGATCCCATGCAAATTAATACTAATAATGGCAGTAACAAATTAGTTGCACACATGTATATTAACATAGAAATTAAATATAAATTGAAGCTGTGAACATTAATTAAAACTGTTCGAATAACAGAGCGATTGGTTCACAACACTAAAATTCATTCATTTATTGATCGTGCAGTTCAACAAATTGTATGAACATCTGTAAATTCCGTATACAGGGTGATCCAGTAATCGACTAATGTATACAAAAATACATGATTCTATTTAAAAAAAAGGAAAATGGCCTTGAAATCTAAACTTCTCCAGCTGCAAAAAAATTATTACCGCCATGTCAAAGGAGACCACCCTGTATATTATTCACTGCGAAATCAAGTCGATGCATTTCGTATTTCATTGCGTAGAGTCTTGTACTAATTTCGAGTCTCGCGGCTCGTTTTTATAGTTACCGATTGTCAACAATTATAAAAACGAGACGCAAGGCTCGAATAATCGTATCTCCTCTTCCCAAATCATCCATTTTAATGCGCAATCTGAGCGCGAATTAGGGAGAAATTACTATGCAAGCAAATTCTCCCCAATTGTCGATAGCTATAAAAGCGAGCCGCGAGGGTTGAAAAATCGTATTTCCTCTTGCCAAATTGTCCATTTTTGTTTATAAGCTGAAGAACGATTGGAGAGAATTTACTGTAAATATTATAATAATATTACTATACGATGAGTCAGAAGTCGTCTATATTTATTTCTTCGTAAAAAATTCATCGTTACTTTGCGCCTAACGTAATATTTGTCGAGACCATCGGCGAAAATTATTTCTCTTGTTCGCGATAAGTATTGTTTGCGCTTGAACGTCTCGAGGTACGGTCGATAGTATCCGGATGTTTTCAGGGGATGTTTTCAAAACTGCAGCATGCTTCGACTTGTCAACACCCGTGCCGCGCCTATAAAAGCGATCGTTCGCGAGCTGCGATCGACGATCAATTTTTCTTCGCAGGGGTTCATGGTTCTATCGACGAAAAATGAAACTGTCTGTGTTAATTATACTATTGTCGTTCATCTTACAAGTGAGTCGATGTGTTTTCGAAAGAAATATTTCTCCGTCGGATCTAATCTCGTTTAATGTTTCTAGGTCAACTGTGGAGTTCTCGTTGTCCTGGAATCGAAAGGTACTCGAAAATTAGCAGATAATTAGATCGTATCGCGTGAAATGTGTGTCGGATCATTCAAAGAGGAAGGGGAATTGTTCTTTTAACCCAAATAAATATCTTGTATTGATCGAATATATTAGGTCTACCGGAAAGTTCTGTCCGTTTAAGAAATGAAAGGAAATAATAGATCTTTCATAAATTTAGTAATATTTATTGTACAATATAATTTCCGTCGTTACTTATGACCTCTTGCCAGCGTGATGGCAATTTGAGAGCAACATTAGATGTGTATAAGAGACAGGATAATGTCATTGCAAATTTCAATAGATATGCACATATTCATTTGAGACATATATTTTTGGAAAATGTTGCTCTCAAATTGCCATCACGCTGGCAAGAGGTCATAAGTAACGACGGAAATTATATTGTACAATAAATATTACTAAATTTATGAAAGATCTATTATTTCCTTTCATTTCTTAAACGGACAGAACTTTCCGGTAGACCTAATATATATAACATTTTCTTGTTTGCATTTTCGTCGACACATTTTCGACAAATCCGAGTGTGCTCGAATGCTAGTACATAAAGATAGAATGAAAATGTTTTTGTTTTATTAGAGAATGGGACAGAAGCGGGTGAACAGCGCAGCGCAAGAGTTCACAGAGTTGCCAGCAACGATTTTCACGAAACCGGGGATGATATTTATGTGAAAAATGCCATGGACCCCGAGACAACAGAGCAAACGCTTGCATTGAACAATAGGAAACGAGAAAAGTTCGCTGAGCGAGCTGATTCGACTCACAGTGAGGTCAGTAAGCTACTTTACATAACGAGATGAAAAACCAAAAAGTTTTCGTATAAATCAATGTTAAATTTAGTAATGACGCTCTAGAGATATGCATCGATTTTATATGAACTGTAATTAGAGTAATTTCTCCCTAATTCACGTTCAGATTGTGCACAAAAGTGAACAAATTGAGCCTTGCAGTTAGTTTCTATAGTTATTGACAATTATGTTTTCACTTCTACAAAGCTCTTTAGTTGATATTGCTATTTTGATCGTGTTATTATCACAAAATGTTTGTCAGTTCAAAATGGACTTTCTTCCGTGGGTTTGGTGCTAAAAGTCTTCGTTAGCTTTTAAACCAGTTTTTCGTGTAAAATAATATTAAATCAGTAAACTACGTTTCGAAACTACAAATATTTATTGAATAAATTTATTTTAGTGTACAATATTGAAAATAAATACCATCCCGTAAACAAAAGATAGAAATATAAGTCAGAGAGTCAATTAGAACTGAGACCTAAGTAGAAAAATTCACTCAAGAAAAATAGAAATACTATTTTTACGCATTTTGGCATCATTTCTTTATACAAGTCCAAGAACTTAATATATTAAGAAAACAAATAATAAGTAAAATGTAGTGATATCAAGTAAATTTCAATGAGGGGGGGGGGACTTTTGAAAAAATTATTTGTAATTTCTACAAAATTTTCAGCATGCATATAAGTCAACGATACTTAAAAAAATGTTAAAATTTTATATACTTAGATAAGAACGCTGATAAACGCGATATAAAGAAATTGTTTGTCGTTCCATCCTGATTGCAATTTTTGCAAAAATGTTTTTACACATTGTCTAGCAAATTAGCTTTTCGATCATCTCTAAAAAGTTAAACTCGTTTAGCCTTATTTTAAGGTAGTTACTCCATTTAAAATAGTATCTACGTCTACATAATATTCGTCTCTATAACTGCATCATAGAATAAACAAATACTATGTTACTAGTGATATTCGCTAGAATTAGATTTAGTACACTAATACGAAACATTTAATATAATATACATTTAATACGAAAAGAATACAATTTCAAAAAGAGTCCATAAGCATTTCGACACTTTTTGAAATTGTATCCTGTTCGTGGTTAGTGTATTAGTGTATTAGATACATCTACAAAGTCGATCGATTCAACGAGAATACGTTTGAAACGAAGCTCTGATCTCAAAGAAAGGAAGACGATGTACTATACGTGTAAGAACTGGCTGTCTTTGTTTTTCAGACGGAATTGTTTAAGTACTTAAAAACCGTTTTGAAAGATATGTCCCGTGACGGTGCCGCCGTTGCGTCGAAGAATGTTGACCTCGAATTTAACGAGCGAACGGAAGTAACCGAATCACCAACGTCCATTAAATCGCTGCCTAGGAACGCTATCATTTCGACGAATCTGCTTAATTTGCCAGAGGACATGGATATTTATTACTCGAGCGGCCAGAACTTCCAAAAAAGCACCAAGACTGGTATTCTTCATTTTGTTTTGTCGAAGAAATCTTTTATTTCTTAACACTTTCATGCATCAGAGATGATGCATTTTTAACTACGGAACTTGTTCCGTGTTTGTAACCCAAAGGCCGCTGACGTATAATTATGATTATAGTTCGGTGCGAGATACAAACGGTTAATTTGTATGCATATAAAATTTATGGTCGCTTTACGATCACGTTAATCCCTGACGTTATAACATCGAGTCAGACAAAGATTTCATACGTAATCTAACAGATATGAATGTTATTCGTTTCTTCTAAATCGAAACTAAATTTGACACTTCTGTTGATCATACGCCATTTAATCAAATAGAGGCAGTTTAATGCAGTGGAACGATTCCAGAAGTTTAATAGTGACGATAGTATAGCAGTCGCGAAAGAGTTGAACCCAATGAGAATTCACTTAAATTTATTACTAGACTGTACACGTTTAGACACGAATCGTCATTTTATAAACATATTTGAGGAAATTAGGTTCGAACAAAATTATATTTTATGTGATAATAATTTTACTTTATATATTATTTATCTTATTATATTTATATTATTATTTTGGTTAAAAAACACAGAATTGGAAAATTCAGTTAAAACGATATTTGAAAAACGATTAAAATTCTTTTATTATTCCAATTAATTTGTATTTAATTGAAAATTCTTGTTTCTCAAAACTATATATGGAGTTCAATATTAATAAAATAAGATAAAATCTCCTAAAAAAATCTATCTCCGATTTTATGTTTTCATTATGGATACGCATTTAGGACACGACTACTCTGCAAAATCAAACGACTCGGAGCCAAAGATGATAAAGAACATCGAGCAATATCTCGACAGACTGCTGACAGATATCCAGAATCATGTGACATACATTCGCAACATCCTCGAGAGACTTTGCTGGTAAGCAGAGCGAACGAAACAGCCTGAACAATCGGAAGCAAAAGCGTCTCATAGTGTTCGAACCCGCAGGAGACTTTGGGATAAAATTAATAACACCTAAACTAACTCATCTTTTCTCTAGGAACCCTAATGCTTTTATAAAAAAACATATAAATCAATATCAATTGATGAATAAAAACATGCAAAGTTATTAAAAGAAATTGAAATCTCAATTTTTGTATTAAATTAATAGCTTCTCATCAATATTATTATTGCAATTTGTTGTCGCATATAATTATTGAACAACTTCTGCCCGAACAATTTTATTTTGTCAGTTTATCGCTAATGCTTGAAGAATCGAGATTATCGTATATGGAAGAAACAAAAAAAATTTCTCCCTAAAGTAAAATTTTGGTAAAAGGATGTCCGAGGAACTTCCATATTTAATATTTATTTTCTAATTTATTATAATTAATTTACTTACTAAATTAATTATTATGATTACTTTACTATATAATTTTTAATCAAGTTTTAATTCATAATATTTAATTTTTTTCTCCATCATTTGATAGATCCTCGCATACTTTTTAAAGAAGTATTAGAGGTCCTCGTCGAGGTCGAACATCGTGCGTCGTATCGGACAGCATTGTATGCATACACGTGTTTCAGGAAACATCGTTCGAAGTCGTTGTCTCAACCGGAAGGCGACATCTTGAAGCATCCGCCAGCAACGATTCAACAGAAACGAGCTTCGACAGTTTAAATCGTATTTCAAACGCAGCCAGTAAAACGTACTTAATTAAAACAATTGTCGTGAAAATGGTTGCAACATTAAACTTATAACGAGAGCGAATCGTCGCCGCCGTATATTAAACCTTATTTGAATACACTGCACGAAAAAAAATAGATGGCGTTCGTTTCTCTTATCCCCTGTGAGAAGGTTTATATTATTTATTGGATTTCTGCATATTGTCGATTTGCGATTTCCATTGAACCTATCAGTTAACAAACAGTGAAGGTGAGATACAAACAAAATTCAGCGCAGTAACACGCGCGAACAATAGAACTGCATTGCAAAGCGATCCTATCGTTTAAAATGTTTGATCGATTCCCTCCTGTAACCATTGACGACCCGCAAGAAACAATCGCGACACGTTTGCTACTCGTTAAACGGTAAGTCTGTTTACTAATACGATTAATAGATACTAGCTACAATGATGTATACTGAGTGCAGTCGAACGGAAATAAGCTCGTAAGACAGGAGGTGTTCGAATTCACCGTCCGTAGAAACATATTGACGACGCCGAGAATGAATTAAGGGTAACTTGTCATCGAATCTTTCGAAAATGGATTGTTCTCAGGACTTTGTTTCTCGAAAATCACGTACGATCGAATAGCTTTCACGCTGTATTCGGACATCGTTTGCAATAAATGAAAAGATTTAGTTCTCACAATTTGTTTGACGCGCTACCTGCCAATTTTACGTGTCCTGTCATCAAGCTAACACTTTATTCACCGGAAGTCTATCAATGGGATTTTCAACGACTGAACTGGGTCTAAGAGAAGTTCGATAATTTTATATTTAATAATAATTTCGAAAGAAATCGTTACATTATTAAAATAAATAATTGGATGGATTACAGATGAGATTGTCGTTTTCGAACGTTCGACTTTAAAAGAATGATCAGAAACCTGAAATTATTAGTCTGAAATTAGAATCATTATCTAAAATGATTTTCGGTTGTAATATAAATCTCTTAAGTATATCATAGTTGTACAAATCTTTTTAACTGTTAATAAATTAGAGATGATCTGTGCGACTACGTTTACATATTTCTTTTAACTTTTAAATATGGTATACATTACGATCAGGCTCGAGAAATTTCAGCAAAAATTTTTTTGTAGGTTAAGGACCATTTGTTGTATTGTTTCTTGGCCCGGCCTGGATCCACATAATCGATCAACGTTCCGATTTCGAATTCTATTTACAACCGCGTTACTTCGTGGTTACTATCGTGTGCGAAGTTCAGAGTTTCTTATTGTTAGTCGAACGTTGAAGGCACTCGTGTGACCTATTAATCGCTCGTACACGAACTTCGTAGAGTTAAATCGAAGATACGGTGGCGGTAGCATGTATCCGACGCTCGTCACGCGAACTAATTTCGAGAGCTGCCCACCGCCGATAATTGAACTCGAGCTGATGGTAGAGAGAGAGAGAGAGAGAGAGAGAGAGAGAGAGAGAGAGAGAGAGAGGATAAAGTTTAGTACGTGCTTTCGAAGAGTTCAATTTCGACAGTTTCAATTCACTGTTTTGAAGTACCCAACAGTTCCAAATATGATTCGAGAGTAATCATATTTTGTTAATTGTATTTGCTGTTTCCAGTCGAACCTGTTTTTGTGCGGTCTTTTTTTATGCAATTTCTTTTGGTGCGATTTGTTTTGCGCGACTTTTTTATGCTGTATATGAATACAGTCAAACCTGCTTTTGTGCGGTAAATAGAGACCGCAGCAAAAACCGCACAAAATAATCGCGTAAAAAAGACCGCACAAAAACAGATTTTACTGTACTCAATCTGTTCGTATACAGTACGGGATAAAAGTACATATTTGTATAATTTTAAAACGCTATAACTCTTTTAAAACTGGACTAACGACTTGAATTTTTTAGACATGTCAGAAGGATTAGTTTAGTAAAACGATTAAAATACGTTTCCATTTTTAAAAAATTTAAATTCGTCTTTTTACTTACGTATTTGAGCTTATAATGAAAATTTAAGAAATGCGTTTTGTAGATTTCGCTAAATTACATGCACGCTGGAAATTTCATTGAAATCGGTTTGGTTATATTCCATTTTTCTATCTATCGATGATGTTGTTTGTTGCAGTGGATACTCTTCTTTAAAAAGTTTGAAAATAATAATTTTCTGATATCTGTGAACGTTTCGAAACTATTCAATCGCTATTTGATTTTACGTAGACCTATTAAGCATAATAGGATAACTCCTGTATATCTTGTGTTTAGCGTCGAATCTACTCGGAAGTAGATATAAATAGAAATACGATGTATAGAAATTTCGTTTTTTCGAAGTGCATAATGAAAGTTCAAGTGAAGCCGTAGCGCCTGTTGAAGAGCAACCGCTGACATACGTTGCGGTCGAGTCGCGTGAGATGCAATCGTTTGGGCGCACAGGTCTACAGTCACATCTTTCCAGCGCATCCACCCAGTGCTCCAAAAATTGAAATGTTTAAACCATTCGAATAACTCGAAAGCATCGAACTACGAATTGTATGAAACTTTTCCAATTGTTCCAAAAAATTCTATAAAAAGGTTATAAAAATGCTATAAGTACTCTAACATTTTTATGAGAAGAAATGTTGCCCTGTAATGCAAGCAGCATTTTATAGAAATGTTCCACACTTTAAATAGAATCTATTTATAAAATTTGCATAATTTGTTCGATAGAACAAGTGGAATTCGATAGAACAAATGAATATAGAAATACAGGGTTCCCCGGAAAGAATCATCCGATTTCAAAAATTTATATTTTAAAAAATTACACACAGAAAATTATAATTCAAACACGAGATGTGTATAAGAGACAGGTGTAATGTATCTCTGGTAATTGTTTGTACAGCATCACAAATGCATTTTTTCAGTTCATTTACACTTGTAGGTAAAGGTGGTACAAAGACAAGATCCTTCACAAATCCCCAAAGGAAGAAGTCGCGTGGGGTTAGGTCGGAGATGTGTATAAGAGACAGGTGTAATGTATCTCTGGTAATTGTTTGTACAGCATCACAAATGCATTTTTTCAGTTCATTTACACTTGTAGGTAAAGGTGGTACAAAGACAAGATCCTTCACAAATCCCCAAAGGAAGAAGTCGCGTGGGGTTAGGTCGGAGATGTGTATAAGAGACAGGTGTAATGTATCTCTGGTAATTGTTTGTACAGCATCACAAATGCATTTTTTCAGTTCATTTACACTTGTAGGTAAAGGTGGTACAAAGACAAGATCCTTCACAAATCCCCAAAGGAAGAAGTCGCGTGGGGTTAGGTCGGAGATGTGTATAAGAGACAGGTGTAATGTATCTCTGGTAATTGTTTGTACAGCATCACAAATGCATTTTTTCAGTTCATTTACACTTGTAGGTAAAGGTGGTACAAAGACAAGATCCTTCACAAATCCCCAAAGGAAGAAGTCGCGTGGGGTTAGGTCGGAGATGTGTATAAGAGACAGGTGTAATGTATCTCTGGTAATTGTTTGTACAGCATCACAAATGCATTTTTTCAGTTCATTTACACTTGTAGGTAAAGGTGGTACAAAGACAAGATCCTTCACAAATCCCCAAAGGAAGAAGTCGCGTGGGGTTAGGTCGGAGATGTGTATAAGAGACAGGTGTAATGTATCTCTGGTAATTGTTTGTACAGCATCACAAATGCATTTTTTCAGTTCATTTACACTTGTAGGTAAAGGTGGTACAAAGACAAGATCCTTCACAAATCCCCAAAGGAAGAAGTCGCGTGGGGTTAGGTCGGAGATGTGTATAAGAGACAGATCTAACGGTTTGGTAGTTCCGTGTTAAGAAAATTCCGAACCTCCAAGTACCAATGGGGTAAAAAGTAAAACTCGCACATTTTCCCGTTATATTCGTGTTTGAATTATAATTTTCTGTGTGTAATTTTTTAAAATATAAATTTTTGAAATCGGATGATTCTTTCCGGGGAACCCTGTATATTTACTCGTTTCAGGCATAAAATAAAATGCCCGAAACTCATGATTAGGCTTCCTAATAATTTTAACTGAAATAGTGAAACAAGAGTATCGCTGTACTCGTCGTAATCAAGCAAAGAGTTAATGTTAAAAATATCAGTAATGTTCAATCGCTCAATGACCCTGTGCAATGAACATTAGAACTAACACACAAAACTCATCATTATCTATACGAGACATTGCCTTTTAGTCAAAAATATATAACGATATACAATTATGTTCGAAAATGACACGAGGTCACTAAGGTCGAAATAAAAGGCGTACACACACGCGTGTCTTAATTGTGTGCTCAACAATAATAAATAAATAAATAAAATAGTAAAGTGCTTACATATTTTATTTTTATCTTTCTCATATTTTCCGTCAAGATCATCACAAAAGTCACGATATATTTCAATCCACAAACTTCTTTTTTCGATCCTGTCGTAAAATTCGTCGACGGCCACATTTCACATTTCTGAAAATGATTTTAATATGGCCAATAAAGAGTGCAATGTCTAACGTGTCAATATTTGGACCAACCATTTTCCGCTGAAATTCTGTTGGTGGGAATTGAGCAATGTATTTCGCGTTAACGCTGCGTCGAATGTGCATTCTCCTAGGACAGTGCTCGGAATGCTCGGGCACGCAACATGAGGCTCCACCTCCTAACTACCGCTGCAGCGCCCCGCTCCCCGCGTTCCTTACCGCGGTTCACAGCCGATGGAGCCAACGTGGGGGGCGAGACGCTGCGGCGGTAAGCCGATGGAAGCAACGCGGGCAGCGAGGTGCTGCGGCGGCATTCAGGAGGTGGAGCCTCATGTTGCGTGCCGAAGCATTCCGAGCACTGCCCTAGGAAACGCGGTAACATTTGCACGCTGCATGAACGTGGCGACGCAATTGCTTTTCAATAAATTATTACTTATTAATTATTATTATTATTATCATTTATTATTATTGTTGTTATTAATATTTTTATGATTATTATTATCATAAATTATTGTTTTTTGTTTTCCTCTTTCATTGCCATTTAATTTATATTCATTATCACTATTATTTTTACGTTTCCATTTCTTTTATACTATATTCCTTCTTTTTCTTTTTCCCTGTTCTTTGCAAATCTTCTTAAACTTTTTGTAACGAAGTGGATTTCTCCATATATAATGATAATAATAAATTACTATAAATTTATTATAATATTTATTATAATGTTGAATTATTATAAATCTATTATAATATTTATTATAATATTAAGTTATTATAAATTATTATAAATGTACATCATCTAATTTAAACTGGTGTACTTGGACCGCAATAGCGGTAAAAGGGCGTTGTCTAAAGGGCCACGGTAAAATTGCACGTAACATAAACGAACGCGGCTCGAAAAGACGCAAGTGTACAGCGGGCCATCGAAACGCTTTAGTACGGAAACGGTGCAAAAATTCAGGAGAACGCGATCGTTCTTCTCCAGAGATTGTTACCAGTACCAGGCACGATGCGATAAGCCTCGCTAGCCGCTTCTCGAAACGAACGTTCCGCTGTTATCCTGTAAACGGTTCCAGACTTCGCGAAGAACTTTTCATATTTCATCTCGCAGCTAACGGGTTTCCGACACGCACCAATCCAATTCCCCTCAGGCCTGCTGCACCTGCATAACAAAGCGCATTATGCAAAGCGATCCATTTAACCCTATCCTTGTAACGTCGACTTTTCCATAACGAACCATTCCCAGGGTTCACCGTACAATCTTCGGGAGGATTCCGGTGTTTCTCGAATTATTGAATTTCTATCCGTTAGTCCTTCAATCGAAGGATTCGCGTCCCGGGATCGAAACCGATGAATCATTTCGCGTTATTGATCAATCGATCCGTAACCATAGCTTCTATCGTTCTATCGCAATCAATCTGCCCTCACGTCCGACCGCCTATAATTAGAACGAAATAGAAATGTTCCAGCGGAATAGTTACGGCTAACAACTTTCAGCTGTGAATTTCTATTATCGCGACGCCAACGAGATTAGCTGGAACGATTTGAAACAATTTCCCGCTGATTGCAGGACGAAACTAATTTGAAATATTGGGTAGCCGGGGTAATTTATGTAGACACGAAGTATCAAGCCCAAGATATTTGCATTTTATCTAGCAGCAATGACCTTAATATTGGATATATAAGGTTATTCTTTAAATTAGAAACTCAAAATGTGACAGTTATTTGAACAATTTTTTGAGAGAAAGAACAGGATTTTTATATTACATATTATATTCGTCGTTCGCGTCTTTATCCCTGCTCAAATAATTAAATTAACTCTCATGTTTCCTTTTCTTCCGTGAGTTTACAGATTTATGTTTTCAACTCTAAGTTTTTGTATTTTATCCGTCCTTGTAACAAAATTATCTCTGACCCGTCGATCAATAAAGTTTTTATTCGAATTATTATGACCGATAAATTGTCGATCTCTGAACTTCTATAACTTCGTATATAAAGGTCAATTTTATCTTCACACATCAGGCACGCACCCTGAATACACATTCTGATAACACGCGAGGAACGCGCCCGACCATGGGGTTCCTCGTGCTGTTCTAATGCTGACTGCGCATTTTTCATTTATGGCGAAATAAAATCGCAGCAGAAATCAAATTTTGTGTGGTCGATCCGAAGGCGAGATCTCATTCCAGAAGATTACACCGAAATTAACGTGGTCAAACAATTTGTAAACTCTGAACAGTATATTCTGAACCTGTCACATTTCAGAAAATAAATAACAACCACAGTCCTACGCTCTGGTTTAAAATCAAATCTCGTCTTTGATAATATACGCTATTAATAAATAATTGATCTGCTCAAGGGATTCATACGTAAACTAACTTTTAGTTCACAATACAACAAAAGTCGAAAAGATTGTAGGACAACGCTTGATCCATTTACATTTTAAGTATAAATATTCAATCACCGAATGATGTTTTATCAATAATTTCACATTTTAATGAAACCGAGAAAAAGCCGAGAAATCGGATTTTACAGGACAAGCAGAAAAAGAAACGGAACATTTTCACTCTTTGGACTCAAGTGTCGACTCCGAGACGCCATTAATAATTGCTATGACACGTCTCAAAATAATGTTATTAATCAAATTTGTTTATATTCTAAATATTGTTAAAAGCGTAACTGTTGCGCACGGGGCACAATATTCAATTTCATATGCATAAAATGCACTGGGTCGTATGGAATGGAAAAACTGTGGGTTGGAAGAACTATTTTAAATTTTGCGCTAATTTAGCTTGATTAACGCAAAGGGTTAAAGAACCTAGAAATTGGCAACAGCTATAAGAAATTAGCGTTCATTCGTGATAGAAATGTTGTAATCAGTCCTCAGATGCTCCGAAAAAATAGTTGCACAATAAATCCTAGGATAACACTAATTTTCACTTTGCACTTTCAGCTAATAAATTCTGCTTCGTCGCTCTTTGTCCGCCACGTCGAAAACGTTAAATTGCATAACATCGATTACAGTTTCAACATTCCCACGTTCAGAAGAACGTAATAAAATTTGAAAGTATGCGATAAATTAGCACGAACAATTAATTTTTCTATTCCGAGGAAATAATTCCGCCGCACATGGGTAACGTGTGAATTATGAAGTGTTAATGATGACTTCCGCGTTGCGAGAAATGTATCTTGCAGCAGGAATCGATAGAAACGAAACATTTTACGTTGAGTGGACGGCTCACACGACTTTGCAAATTTCGCAGAGATGACCGAACAGCGAAACGTTTCCTCGAGTGCAAGGCCTCGTACCGAGCACGGGACCGTCGTCGGCGCCGGCGTCGGCGTTGGCGTCGGCGTCGAAGGTAGAAGCGTCGCAGGACTTCGCGCTGGCTCTACCCTCATGAAGAGCGTGTCTATCTTTTTGATGAGCGGTCGCAAAGCTTCTGTGGAATCGAAAAGGTTAACTTCCGGCGGCCCGAAGCACGAGCAGCCACGAAGAAGGCGTCGCGCAAGAATGCCGGACGGAGCAAGCGGTGCTAGAAATTCCACGCACACCGTCAAGCTCATCGAGTCGCTCCGAAAGAAAACAAGATTCTCGTGGCAAGTGAACTCATTCCATCCTTTTCAATCGTTGTGATTACCGCTACGTTTACGGACATTTCATGTGTGCCTATTTTTTTACGGACACTCGATACATAGGCGGGTAAAGGAAAACACGTATTTTCTTAAAGAAGAAACGATCGACTTAAAAATAAGTTTTAAAAATAATTTCGTTATGCTACATTATCGGACATCGCTTAACCCTTTCGCGCCGAGCGCCGCATATATGCGGCATCCACTCGACGACCTGTGGGTACGAGCGCCGCATATATGCGGCATCGAAATGAAGTGTACACAGAAGACGCGGATGTGTAATTTGTAGCAAAAATGATAAAAGAACGGATTCGCGGTACGAGTGCAAAGATTGCGACGTTGGCCTTTTTAAATTAAAAATGTAAATATACTTGTCACATCGGAGCAACGATTGTTTTATTCGGCACAGTTATTATTCAAGACTTGGAACAACATATATACAGAAACCACGCGCGCCGTGCATATTTCCGGAGCGAGTTTCCGTTCGGTGACGGTGCTTCGGCGGATGGAGCTGCCGTAGCGAAAGGGTTAATGTTCAATTTCTAATTACTTTCTCGTTAGATGCCAGGGAAATAGATTCGTAAATAAAGCCGGTTTATTAGGATTAACTGTGAAATTAGCAAACTCGTCAATTCGATGGGTTCCGTAGAGATAGGTATATTACATAATTTCTAATTAAAATAGTTTCGAGTGCGAAGAATTAAATGCTGCGTTTAGCAGAGTTTTTTCAGTTATGGAAGCTTTTCAAATGCAATCCTCGCGGCGTGCCCATGTAAATTCTCCACAATTGTCGCTCAGCTTGTAAACAAGAATGGACAATTTGGGAAGAGGAGATACGATTATTCGGGCCCTGCGCCTCGCTTTTTATAGTTGTTCACAATCGGCGATTACGAAAATGAGCTGTCAGGCTCAAATAATCGTATCTTCTTTTGCCAAATTCTCCATTTTTGCATTCAAGCTGAGCGACAATTGGAGAGAATTTACTGTACAGTAATTTCGCCCTAATTCGCGATCAGATTGCGCATAAAACTTGACAATTTGGGAAGAGGAGATACGATTATTTTTAGTTTTCACAGTTACCGATCGTCGTCAACTATAGAAACGAGACGCAAGACTCGAATAATCGTCCATTTTGATGCGCAATCTGAGCGTGAATTAGGGAGAAATTACTGTTTTATCATTATTGAAAAAGTACGAACGACAATAATAATAGTAATAATAACGATATATCCATGTTTCAAACTCTGTTATCCAAATGTTTTTTCATCGATACGTTCTATTATTCTAACAGTACATTACAAAGTGTGTGTCTGACGAATACGCGACGCATTGGTGACGCATCGCCAGTGCAGTATTTATTTCTGACTAAATAAGTAGCCATCAAACGAAAATAAGCAATAAAAATTTATTGCCGCGTTTATGTTGTCCTCGTAGCCGTGGGAAATGAGAAATGGATAGAACTTCCCGACAGACTCAACGTTAAATGTCCTACTAGCATAGTTGCAACTTGCATTTCTCGTCTGAATTACACAATATCGATGTTTTTGTAATTGCTTTTTATGGCTTGGGAACTTGGCATTGCTGGCCTCAGCGGACAATAAGCAATTTAACCTTTGACCGTGTCGTATTTCTGAATTTATGTGTATAGCACTGTACTTATTAACACGTTGATTGCGCCCATGGCAGTCATGCAAAATCAGAATAACTTGTTCGGTTTCATAATACGAGAATGAAAAAGGCGAGATTTATTATAGCAATTATTTTTGCGACTGTGGAACAAAAAGTTCTACTTTGACAGTCGGATGGCGGAATTCATTTATGACCGGTGCGCAAATATTGTTATTTGACTATATAGTTTCTCTGACGATTAATTTAAATTTTTCATTAAATGTTTCATTAGGATCTATAGAAAAACCAGCGCGTCTGGAAGAAGCAGTTTAAAAAATGTGTTGAAAAAAAATTATGAATGATTTAAATATGCCAAGTTATAGTTCTCAAGTGGAATTCGAAACGAGTCTTGTGATTAGGTTAATTTAAGTTCAAGAAAGGTTGACCCAAAGATTAGGTCAATTTAAAGGATGTTCGACTGTCGCAGGCAAGAATTGGACAATCTGTGCAAGCTCTACAAAAAGTTAACCAGTTCCGGACAGCAACAAGTAGGACAAACGTTCGTTATCGGTAGAAGGCAGCAATCCAGCCAGACTATAGAGGTAGCGACACTTCGAATCATAGGAATTTTAAGTCGCGTGCGTGATCCTGTCATTTTCAGTCCGCGAGGAAGCATGCAACTCGCATAACTTTCCCGCAATCGCGTCCCACTCACCGCGACTTGGTCTTTTTGTCGCTCGTTTTCTCGCCGCTGTAAATCGTTGCACGCTGTTCACTTGTTGGGAACAGGATTATGGAAATGGTCTTGTTGTTCTAACCAGGGTATCGACAGAACGGTGTTCCGGGACTTGCTGCACAACACGTTCAAAGTGATCACCGAGGACGCGCTGGTGGAACGTATATTCTGCTGTTGGGATCGGGAGAACGAAGGGATCATTCGATTGGAACCGTGGATCATGGGTCTCGATCTATATCTTCGCGGTAGTCTGCGGGAGAAGATTGAGTTCTGCTTCAAGGTTTACGACCTGAACAACGACGGATTCATTACGAAGGATGAAATCTTCCAACTTTTCAAGTAAACATACTGTCCGTTGCTCAGAAGAAGTCCGCTGGTGAAAGTGTAGGATCGATCCCCACCAATCTACATATTCTAACGCCCTCGCAGAAGTAGGGTAAACGTGTTTCCCTTATTGGCAGAGAAATGATCCCTTTCTATTAGCCCCAAGTTGACTGCAACACTGAATCTCCACGAAACGAGGGACTCGAGTTCGGCCGATCAAAAACAAACAACGCCAACAATTTGGTATAACATTTTTATCAGGGGCTTCGTTTTCCAGAAAATCGACTTTAAAGTTCGTTCATCTTTGCGAAGTATTTAGTTGTTTATTCTTCTACCGCAGTTGCCTCCGTCTGAGATAGCGTTTACAAACATTAATTATTAGGAACTATGTACTATCCCTTGTTCAGAAGAAAACAGCTGAGAAAAGTGTAGGATCGATTTTATGTTAACGTGCTCGCAGTACAGTAATGTCTCCCTAACTGACGCCCAGATTGTACACAAAAATGGACAATTTGGGAAGAGAAGATACGATTATTTGAACCTTACACCTCGTTTTTATAGTTATTGGCAATCGGTAACTATAAAAACGAGCCAAAAGGCTTGAACAATCGCATCTCCTCTTCCCAAATTGTCCATTTCTGTGGACAATCTGAGTGTCAGTTAGGGAAACATTACTGTAGTAGGGTGAACGCGTTTCCTTTATTGGCAGAAATGATTCCTTCATATCGGCCCCAAATTAACCGCTACACTGAATTTTCACGAAACGGGGGACTCGAGTTCGGCCGAATAAAAACAAACAACGTCTCCTGATTCCCGTCACGTCTCCCTCCCCGTGATCGCCATTTTGAGCTAGGAGCACATCAGACGCTTGTGTCTGTGCTTTGTGTGGGAGTGTGTGTATCATTTACGCGATCACGGGCGAGCGAGACGCGCGACGGGAGTCAGGAGGTGTAGAACAATCGAGACAAAGTGGAACAGACGCAACAATTACAAGATGCAAGAGCGTTGACTTGTCCCTAAAGCATTAACTTCAGATTCTTCTGATGAACACATGATTATTTGTAATTACTAATGACTAATTAGCATTTTGATTAACATTTCATTGCATTGGGCAGCAAACGTGCTGTATTATAAACATAGTTTTTATATTTATGTTATATCGTATGATTTTTTTAAACGGTCATCATAAATGTTAGACACTA